GCAGCAGCAGCAGGAACAGCAGCAGCAGCAGGAACAGCAGCAGCAGCAGGAACAGCAGCAGCAGGAACAGCAGCAGATTTGTGTAGACTGCCTCACTAGGACGCTGAGCGTTGTGGTGTTGGAGAGCACCAGCAGCAGATGCAGCAGCAGCAGCACCGCAACAGCAGCACCCATGTTCGAGGAGAGACAGAGAACGATGATAACAGACTGCCGCAGCAAGCTGCTTTCTGCTGCTGCTGCAGCAAATGAAACTACGCTCTTATTAAAGGGACAGGGGCCCGTCAACTGCTCTGCTGCTAAAGCAACAGAATCCCTAGCAGCAGCAACCCCAGCAGCAAATGCCAGTGACCGCAGGCGCCTTTGTTCCTGCTGCTGCTGCTGCTGCTGCTGCTGCTGCTGCTGTTGTAGGGATGGGTTTGATCGTGCTGCAGCTGCTGCAGGGTCTGTTGCTGCATCTTTGTGTGTTTGCTGTGTCTGTAGCTGCTGCTGCTGGTGCTGCTGCTGCACAGCAGCAGCAGCAGCAGAAGCAGCTCGCCAGGCTTCTAGAGCAGCAGCATTTAGCTGCAGCTGCGTAGGGGGTGGAGGAGGGTCAGAAGGAAGCCCCACTGTGGCTTGCAGCAGCAAACGGAGACACTTATGAATGATACCCCTTCGCTGTGCAGCAGACAGTCTGGGCTGCTGCTGCAGCAGACGCTCTTCGCTATCTGTCTCTGCTGGTGAATAGGGGGAGTATGGAGATGGAACCAGCAGCTCCAGATGCTGCTGCTGCTGCTGCTGCTGCTGCTGCTGCTGGTGGTCTGGCTGCTGCTGCTGCAGCAGCAGCACAGCTTGAGGCTCTCGCTCTATAAGAAGGAGACGCCTAGAGACGGCATTAAAGACGAGGCTCTTAGCATAGGCATGCTGCTGCAGATCTACATGTATTTGCTGCAGGTTAAGAACAACAGCAGCAGGAGACAGCAGAGCGTACACCGCAAAAGCAGCAAGGAGACAGCCGTACAGCAGCAAAGACACGAAGCAGCGAATGTTATTTATGCCTATACATTTATTTATCCACGGGCAGTGATGGTCTTGACGAGCTACGCATACACCGCACGCCCCACAGTGCCGGATCCGATCCCCTTTCAAGCGCCCGCACCGACCGCACACACTCCAACGAACCTTGCTGCTGCTGCTGCTGCTGCTGCTGCTGCTCATGCTGCTCCTGTTTCTGCTGCTGCTGTTGCTCGCGCTCGTGCTGCCGCTGCTGCTGCTGCTGCTGCTGTTAACGGTGCTGCTGCAGGTGTCGGTGTTGGTGGTGGTTGAGGTGGGGCGGGTCGTGCTGCAGCTGCTGCTGCGGCTCGTGCTGCTGCTGCTGCTCAGGCTGCTGCTGCTTCGGTTAATCCGCCTAGCGCTGCTGCTGCTCCTCCTCCTCTTGCTGATGCTGTTGATGTTGCTGTTGCTGCTGCCACTGTTGTTCTTGCTGCTGCTGCTGCTGCTGCTCAGGGAACGGCTGCGGCCAACGCGCTGCGCGGAGGTCTTGTGGCTGTTGCTGCTGCTGTCGCTGCTGCTGCTGCTATCGCTGTTGCTGCTGCTGTCGCTGCTGTCGCTGCTGCTGTCGCTGCTGCTGTCGCTGCTGCTGCTGCTGCTCCTTCGCTCCTTGAAGCAGGCAGCAGAGAGCATAGCTCCTCCCATTTCAACCTCAAGACAACAATGCTGCTGCGGCTGCTGCTGCTGTTGCTGCTGCTGCTGCTGCTGCTCATCATCCCAAGGAGCGCCACCAGCACCAACAGAAGCAGCAGATGGTTTTGTTGCTGCTGCAGCACAATTCCCACTGTCTGTTGTTGCTGCTGCTGCTTCTGCTGCAGTGTCCTCTGAAGCTGCGGCGTCAACTGCTGCTGCAGCAGATGAGAAGCGTGCTGCTGTACTATGAGCAGCAGCAGCAGCAGCTTTTGCTGGTGTTTCTGCTGAAGTGTAAGGCGGTAGTTGCTCCAGGTGTATATCAGCTGCAGCGGGATCTGACGCATCGGCAGGAAGAGGAGAAGCAGCAGCAGCAGAACCAGCAGCAGCAGAACCAGCAGCAGCAGCAGCAGCATCGGGAGCAGCAGCAAGAGCGAGGGGGGTGCCGCAGAAGCGATGGGAGAGACGGATAAAAGCATTTAGCTGCTGCAGAGTTATATTACCCTCTACCTTCGGAGGGAGACCAGGAGACAAACAAATACAAGAAAAATAATTATAATATGTACACCCCAGCAGCCACAGCCCCAAGCAGGCTTCGAGACAACACCAAGAAAGCAGCACACGCTGCAGCAGCAGAACCAGCAGCAGCAGCAGCAGCATCGGGAGCAGCAGCAAGAGCGAGGGGGGTGCCGCAGAAGCGGTGGGAGAGACGGATAAAAGCATTTAGCTGCTGCAGAGTTATATTACCCTCTACCTTCGGAGGGAGACCAGGAGACAAACAAATACAAGAAAAATAATTATAATATGTACACCCCAGCAGCCACAGCCCCAAGCAGGCTTCGAGACAACACCAAGAAAGCAGCAAACGCTGCCACCATTGCTGCTGCTGCTGCTGCTGCTGCTGCTGCTGCTGCTGCAGGTGCTGCAGCTGCTGCAGTGCTCTCTACCCTGGGGGGCCCCCCATCAGAACCGCAGAGGAAGACGGGGGCCCCTAACCTTCTTCTTCTTCTTTGTTTCTTGTCCTTCTTCTTTTATTTTAAAGCTTCTTCTGCATGCGCATGCATTTTATCGTTTTTTGGGCTTACACTTCTACTTGTTGCTGCTGCTGCTG